TGTGTTGTTAAAAGACAAATTGGGTTTCTAATTGCCAAGTGCAATGTTGCCATGACTGAAGAGTTTCCCCTGCTTTCTTCTTTTCCCATTGCAGTTGGTGTTTCCTAATAAAACAGTTCATGAGCTAAACTGCTCCCAGGTCCTTAAAAGCAGCATGCTAATGTAACACCACAAAGGATGCCCCTACAATTAGTAGGAACCTAGCAATGGGAGACCTGGTCAAGTTCATTGCTTAAGGAATGGAATCAAGTCTTGTGTGCTTCCTTCTCAGTTCTGGAAAATCAGACTGCTGTTACTAGATTTGGGCCTGAAATACGGGTAGTGCCCCTGTAACATGGTGCCAGCTGACACGTCTGAAAATAAAATCTTAAATTCTGAGACAGCATAAAATGATTGGGATTATTAGATCATTCTCACTGTACACAAGGAAAAAAAGCAGAAGATTTCTGAAATTTAATGCCTTATTCATAAATATTTTTGTTTTCAAACTAGCAGTTTCTTGTAATGATGCAAACACCCCTTTCCTGCTTCAGTCTTGTACACAGCATAAACGTCATACATTATCAAACTAGATGAGTTGTATTGTAATATATTTGTGAAATCATTTTTCTTCTGGGCATATTCAGCTTGATTTTTGCCAAATACAAAAGCTTCAGAAAAAGCGCATAAGGCGATGAAGTTGAACAGTAATAAAGTTACGAAAGCAAAATAAACTATAAACTTTAAGAGGAGGACCTAAAATAACAAATGAAGCTAGGGATTTTTCCATTCAAAAACATTTGCAAAACAAATTCATTTCTAAATCACAAAGGTCCAGATAAAAATAGTGTGACAAACACTGAACTGTTACTAACAAAACACTAGACTATTTAAATTGAATTTGTAAATTCTAATTTACATGCCTTTCTGTATGATTATTTTCTTTAATGAAAGAAACCTTTTCAGTTTCTTAGTGTTTGTTTTTGTGTTAAATAATCAGCTTCACTTTGCTTTTCCGGCATTTTTAGAAGAGCGCAGGGCTATGGCAGCAAAAGTTTCAATCAAGACACACATTTGTTTCCACTCTAAAGCATAATAACTTGCAAAAACCCTTGTTCATTTACATTCCCCTTCCCCCCATTATTTTAATACAATCAAAGGGTGCAATTTTGCCTTTGAGGCTGGAATGGAGACACAACACTTCCTGGATCTCTTTCTTACTGTGCCAGCTGCTATACTTTTTAAAGAAGTGTATCATGTATCCATTCTGTGGTCCTGGCCTCCAACTCTTGCCCACCTTCACTGGGGTAGCTCATGCTTCTAGCCACATTAGCCAACAGTCTCTGTGTTATGGGGGACTTGAGGATTGCATTTATGATTTGATCCATACAGCTGTGGTGAAAACTTGGTCCTATGTTTGGATGTAATTTACATGGTACTGTTCCCTGTAGGTGGTGCTGAGTAAGAAGCGTAAGTCCCTTTATCTGTTGATATTGTAGTGCTGGAGTGAAGGTTTTCCCATAATACACAGCTGAGATGACTCCCAAAAGATTTACACCACATTCTTTGAGACTGGCTTTAGCTGTAACTGAGGGTATAATTTGAGAGAGGGGTCTGGTGACCTGTCTGATGAGGCTGAATCCCTGGCCCCAAAATCTTCTCTTGGCTTTTGTGATTTCAGGCCACCCTTGCTAGACGTTTCTGCCTTTCCTTCCGAGGGCTTTGTTGCTATGTTATTCTCTGTTGTCAGCTCTCGGACATTCATTCTAGCTTCTTGCTTGCTTGGAGTCCCTGTTCTGTCTTTGTCTTCTCTCCTGTTTGCTGGAGCAGCTGAAATTACCCATGCAACTGTATTCTTTATTCCTGGCTCAACAGGCTGCTTTGTGTCTTTCCATCTTCGGGCACCAGATTTTGAATTGAATTCATACATTTTGCCAGTGACTGGTTAGAGGGAAAAAGACAAACAGTTAAACTATTTCTCCTTTTAGCAGACAAATGGGAGGCAGTTGCTCTCAGTTAGCAAGGATTAAATCTCATCAAAAATCTCATCCTTGTGTAATGATCTAGAGTAGACCAGTCCTGAAACACATTGCTATCTAGACTAGGAAAGACCCTATGTGTGATAGGCTTGCTACCTCCAAGTAGCTTATTATTTATAAAAACAATTTGAAACCCCATATGGCAGCTATTGTAGACCTCACTTAACACCTTTAAACTCAGGTTGGTTGTTTCAAGTAGACCCCAGGCTCAGAGATCAGGCATCCCAAAAGATCTGGACTATTTATTGACTTCTTATTTGCCCAGAGTTCTTGTCCCTTGACAGATGCTCTATACTGTAGTGAAAGGTAATGGAATGATGTGTTCTCTCTGTCCACATGCTGGGGTAGTAGTTCATCATTACAGAGCCTCCCGTCTCAAATCTTTTGGTACTTTAGCACACTTTCGCTAGTGTTTCATTAGAAAGTGCCTATAACCCTCTGTAGACTTTAATAGCAACTCTTCCCTTGTGCACTGGAAATGCATCCCCATTACAGCTCATTTACGTTCCATAGATATGTAGAGAAATTTCCTTGTGTTGAATATAATTACCCCTGTTTCTAAATTACTCCATACTTGTTAAGTGGATGAGGGAAATGGGGAACTAGAGGCATTTCCTGTTGTCAATTAAACATTATTTTTATCAAGTAGTGAGACCAAAAAAAAAAAGAAAATTACCTTTAAGGATTGACCAGAGAAGGGAAGGTTCTATGCTAGAGTTAGTATCAGGATTAATGGCTCCTGACAGATTAGTGTAATTTGGGCAATAAAAGATAAAATTGGATCTCTCCTCACAGATTTGTATGGCTACTTACAGATTACGTACTTTTGGAATATAAAAGAATAAGGAACATCTAATAGCCCTATGTGTAGCTATCAGCACAAAAGGCTATTGCAGAGGGTATAGCCTGAAAATGTAGATATCTGCATGCCCTCCAGCAAGTTTGGAGGACACCTGACCCAGCTCTGCTTGATTCTGCTGAACTGAGCATTTATTAATCCAAGTCTGAGAAGTGGGATGTTGTGGCACTGGCCCCAGGATGTGCTCATTTCAGGGGAAATAACCCTAGTGTTCATGGCCATTCTTGTTCTCAGCTAGCATAACGGTGGCCCATGCTTGGAAGATGAGTTTCCAAAACTCTTAAGATACTAATGTCCCCATATAATC